ACTTAAACATTACAGGCAGGCAGCAGGTAAAAGAGACCTGAAGCCATTACATCAGATAACTTGGTCTTTATCCGCGAAGATATCAACTCAGATGCACAAAGGAACCCGATTTTCGAAGATGAGAAAGAAATATAACGATGGGCTGATCATTTTAAAGCACTTTTGAATCGAACATCACTTGCAACTCGCCCAGAAATGCAACCAACACTCATCACCCAGCGAAAACAGAAATCTTGCATGCTATCAAGATACTGAAGGCAAGCCAGGAAAGCAGCAGTTTCAGACAGAATTCCCACCAATTCAATGGAAACGGACCCTAGGTGTGCAGAAGATATTCTGATGCCATTATTACAAAGGGTTTAGAAGGAATAAAAGGTTCCTTCTTATTGTATAAAAAGCTGGTTACCTTGTCGAGCTACCGAAGCAGGGCGACTAACGTCTCCACAAGAACTGGCGTGCAATAATATTCTTGTCTACACCAAGTAAAATACTAAGTCGTGTCATCCTGAATTGAATAAAATAATAATAATACAGTGGATGCAGAACTGCGTCCGCCGGAACAAGCTGGATTCAGGAAAGGCAAAGCATGTGCTGATCAAATTGCAACTCTACGCATCGTTATCACAGAACAAAGCATAGAATTGTAGTCAAAACTCTACCTCAACTTCATCGACTTCGAAAAGCCTTCGACAGACAGCGTTGACCGAGACGTAATTCGGAAACTACTTCAGCACTACGGCGTATCTCAATTCTTTATCAACCTCATTCAACAGCTATACTAAAGTGGCACGTGCCAGCTGATCCACAACGGAAAATTTAGCGAGGCGTTTGAGGCGCTTACTGGAGTAAGACAATGTTGCCATCTACTATCACTCGTGATATTCCTAATTGTGGTGGACTGGATTACGCGTGTAACTGTTCATGGAAGCGAGAAGACCTGAATACTCTGGACCAATAAGAAGGCTCTGGAAGATCTGAATTTTGCGTTTGGATGATTAATATTTAATGTCACACGAACTCGACGACTAACAGGTGAAAAACAACAAAGTGGCAGAAGATGATGTCAGCAAGGACGTGACTCCAGGTTAACATAGAGAAGATACGGGGGATAAAGATAACAAACCAACAGCGACAGCATCAGCAACAAACAACAACAACTAGCAACAAACACTTTCAACGGGTGAAACTCGAAAGCGGTCACATCCTTTACTTATCTAGAAGGCATTGTACCAGCCACAGGCGGTTGAAATGGATGGAGATGTCAAAACCAGACAGAATCGGAAGGCTAGGGTTAACCTTCATCAATCTGAAATCAGTTTTGAAATCTTCTGCACTCTGCAGCATTAGCAAGGAAATTCGGATATTCAATACAAATGTCAAGTCAGTCGAATCTTCTATACTTCTCAGAAATCTTCACTGTCCATCTTGAGAAGCATTTCCAACAGACTACTGTGGAATTCTATCAACATCTGTCGTCGCCGTCTTCACAATGAACATCAGATGACCAGTCGGAATGAACTGCCAACAAGAAACTATGAGAACAGACTAATCAAGAGCGTATCGTTCAACAAATAATAAGTAATCCCTTTGTTATTTCAGTTGCAAAGAAACTACAGCCTGGATATTTCCAACACACATCATAGAGATTGATTTAATTAACTTCGGTCCATTATAGTCAATCAACAGTGCGTCAGTAGTACAGCTGTAGAATTCTCACCAGCCACACAGGTGGTCAGGAGTTCGATCTCCGGCCCCTGACGCACTCCTTTAACTCAATAAGCCAGTAGTTAGACTGGTAAAGAGGGAAGGTTGGACATGAGGCTAGTAACCTCATTCCGTAAAAGTAAACGTCACTGGTACCGAAACTTCAAAGCTACAGCTTGAAGCGCTGTGTCCCACTAGGAACGTGAAGGAATGAAAAAATCAATCAATGGGAAATACAAAGTATCAAACAAATAGTGAGATATCTGTAGTTATCATAATTTATTTTAAAAATAAACCATCAAGAATCGAAGTAACAATACAGTAACAATACAACAGTTGTGAAATTTCAGCATAAATATGGACCGCTTAGCGTAATGATTAACAGTTAGGATATCGTAACCTAAGTACCAGGTCAGGTGTTCCATAAAATAAAATGATTGTTCCTTTTAATTTTACGTAACTGTGAATTAACGACTAACAGAAAGCTTCTGTTGCAGTGCGTTAAGATAGAAGTATATAGTTCAGGTAAACTGCACCTGAATTCATTCACATTAATTTCAAATTATTCTTAATGATCCCTGAATACTCTCCTATCGAATTTCTGAAAGCTTGGACTAATCGGTTTACCACGCTACTAACCAGCATAATCTATGATGATTGGGGGGAAATTTGAGTTACCAACAGTCCGGAATTATTTGATACTTTAAAATATTACTCACTCGATGATTTCTGTTTAAGATGGACTCATAAGTGGACAATCAACATTTCACTAGATTTTTTGAAGTAGGTGAGGATTCCACTGATTTTTAAGAGGCTTATTTGGATTTATGTCTCACTGTAGACAGCTTGCTAAAAGATGTATCAGTTTATTGCATCTAACTGAGCAATAAATTTTCTTTAAAGACCGAATGAACTATTTGGCAAATATATTTAGGATTTTTCTTCTTTCCTTGAGTTCCGAGTAGAGCACAGGGTTTCAAGCTTTTTCTTATATTTTCAGCAGTGTTAACGTGTTGTTTCCACGGAGTGAGATTGTTACGCTTGATCGTCATGAATGAGGTAGCAAATTCCATCAGTGCCAATCATATTCGGTACATAACTTTGCTAACACCAGACAGAGTTCGGTTGCTAGCTGATGTCCTATGTTTATCATGAAACTATCATAAAATCCAAAATGTGAAAATAATCACATTTTAAACCTGACCAACGATAATTTCAAGTATATTTCACAAAGTTGCTAACCGTTTTTCTACGTACGTGTTCATTTAATTACAAACTGGGGTTTATATCAATGAAGTGTCAGGGGAATTTACTTGAGTTTATAAGTCGCCTCCACGGATCTCGACAAATGAATAAGAAAAAGTTATCGGAAATGCACAACAGGTTTTGTATATTCTGTTCCAGAGGTACCAATGAAGAGGAAATTCAAAGCCACAGCGAAATATTTTCAGACAATAATAATCCTCAAAAATCCATCAGTTATAAGAAGCCACCAAATCGATATATATTAAACTGTCTCATTCAAGAGTAATTTCCAAATCTTATCATTAAATGAAGAATGAGAGCAGCACTCTGAAGAACTTAATATGCAGTAAGGATAACTGATGTCGTTGTGTAAACGCTCACAGCATTTGGAAGACATTTTCACACCCATTCACAAAGCATTCGCCAATTTACACATATGTGTATATAGAAGGGTTCCATCGGTCTCTGCAAGGTGAGGCTACAGAGTGCATCTCTGGTAGATCGGAAGAACAGGTGAAATCGTCTAGCTCAATTAACCTCGGAAATAGATAACTAGTTGATTTTAAAAGTGTCTGTAAATTGGATGTTGGTCACATGATTAAATTCTTTGGAACCCTATTCATTCAAACACCTCGACATGTTTAATGCATCCAAAAATAATTTGCTATTTCCGAAACTAAGCATTATTTTGCGCGATACTGTTCTCTGCTTCATTTTTATCTATCCCTTCCTCATCTCCTATCGATGATTTTCACTCCTGAGTAGGAACAGTGACACGTATCAACCAAATGGTGCCTTCCTAATTTCTGTTGTTATTGTCTTCGACACTCAGCAAGTAGAATGGAATCACTGTGTCTCCTTATTACTGAACATTTGTCCTCCTGATTCAGGAAATATGAAACGTTTGCTTCTAGCATAACTGATATACGCGGAAGATCAGGTAGACTTTAGTTGATCTTTGTTGTGAAATATAATGTACTTAAAACATATCTGATGGAAGATTTATTTGCTATGAAGGGGGTCTTTTTCACAATTCTCTAGTTCTGAGCAAAATTGTGTGATCTGAGTTGTTCTGGTTTGCAGCGGAAAGTATGGTTACATTTCATCTTGGACTGTGTTCCCTGCGAGTCGTAAAGTTATTCAGCTATCTGTGAACTCTATTAAACGTATTACCACTTCAATCAGGTGTCTAGCTAGGATTTAGGCGTTTCGAACTTATTCGGCACTTCGACCTGAGTCAAACTAGACGCGTTTTGTTCTGTCTTATTCTTGCACTCAAGGCTGTTTGATCCCATGTTATTGGGAATACACATACCGGCACTCACTAGGTATTTCGTACCTGAATTCAGAACGAAACAAGCACTCATGGTTGGAGTGATTGCTATCCAACTACTCGTATCAATCAGTTGGTTTGCGGTATACATCATCATGCATTTAGGTATTTTATTACCATTCAGATGAATAGGTAGAAGTTTCGCTTCATAGTTGTGTGTCATCATCGTCACCAACTGACCTATATATTAAGTCTTCATTGTACATCTGATGACTAACTTCTCATGAGAGATAAAGATTTCGGCGAACTTTCATTATTTTAATTGCGATTTCCAACAGGGCTTAGGATTCTCATTTACTCAATACAATCATCACCAATAAGACTTGTGATAAGTGGAAGAGGCATTTTATTAAAATTCACTTATCATATTTTATGTCATTCCCTTGGAATTTCGAGATTAAAGGCAGTATTATCATTATTATCGTGCCTTTGAGATTCAAAATCAGCCTATTCATCTGTATAGTTACCATTGTAACGATTTGATCATCACTATAGATGAGTTTGGTTGGTCCATTTGAATTCACCTTGACCCAATCAAATAGATAAATGATACTGAAGAATGATTGGAGTTAAATTTCTATTTCGTACTACTGCTCATTCATTCAGGTTTACAGAACAAGATAAGCGTCAAAACTTACTTGACTAATGCGCTTGATGTGGTTGCACAGTAAGTGATTTTATTCTTCTTTCAAAGCGATTATTGTCAATTAAGGATGCACAAAAGTGAAACTCATTTTGATCGCCGTCACATGGATTCCACTGCTGCCTTTCTTCATTTCTGTGTTCAAGACTTCTTCAGCAAGATAACAAAGTCCAAAGAAACTACATGCCGGGAAGCTGTTATCCAAGAAAGGAGAGATGCAGGTGCCAAGATAGATTGGATTTCCGCTCAAATGATACTTCTTCGTGATATGTTCAACAACTACAGGTGAATCTAAGTGCGGCAAGTGACTTAAAATTTTAATTTCAATATTCTCTGTAATAAAATATTTCCGACTTATAACTGATATATTTAAAATCTCACTGTATAACTGGTATCGGTGAAAATGTGAATGAGAATCACACTTAGTCGCCTGGTGTTCATCTGCATTCATTTACTTCACTAATCCATCCAAAAAGGAATCAATGTCAGCCTGTTGTGGACTTTTTCCACATTTCACCTTATCGCCTTACAGTATCAACGTGCTCACATAAGTTACTATAGATAGTTGAGTTGGATATTAGAAGAAGCTTCTTATTTGAAAACTATTCTCTACAGACGACATTTCCAAAGCTGCACATTCACTTTCATATTTCAACTCGTTGTGATGATCGTTAAAATGCGAATATTCAGTAATAATTTATTGTGAGAAATCGAAAGAACAATTTAAGCCCATCCAAAAGTGTCATATCGGGATAAGACTGGCTTGACTGTGGCATGCCAGGAGAAGGATGTGTAAGCTGAAGGAATTCCGACTTCTGCTAACTTCATTGTACAACGAAGTCATAATGGTCTTCTCAGTAAACCAACGACTATCACCTATTAAAAATATGCTTGTCTGGTAAAGCGAAGTCAGTCATATACAAAACATCACTAAGTACAGACTGACAAATCTTGAAGTACATCTCCATCTTTAACTCTATCCTATATATAATCGAACATTATGCATCCATCTGAAGTCGCCTCTTCTTCTGAGGTGGAAGTGATGCATGATTGATTTTGATTGTCTTGCTTGATGATTATCTATTGGTATCACATCATATGTATTTTACATAAAAGTACTCCTTTCTCAGAGAATGTAACTATGATATAAGTGTTAGTTGAAATGCGTTTAGTTGTCTGTTTCAAGTGCACCTTCACTGTCAAACGATGTGTTAGTTGTTGGTGAATACTCATAGCTTTCATTGGTATTGTGTCATCACATACAAGTAAGTATCTCCAAATAAGTATCTTTCGTCGTAATCTTGTGTAAATGGTGCAGATAACAATAATGGTGACAAGAGCATTAGTAATATTAACAATAATGCGGTAACCGGTTTTCATCCAATTGAATTAACACTTTCTCTGGCTTTTGCCTCCATAGATCTGATTCTATTTTTGAAAAGTAATCTGACGCATCATACACTTATTCCCTGCTTATTTATATACGATGCAGTTAGACATACTGACACAATGATATACTCTCTGACTTCTCAATGTATTCAACTAAAATTTTACTAGATGTTGGATCTAAAAGCATGCTAGAATTTTAGGTACTTTCAGTGGAGATTCCACTTGTGTAGCCAACTATCCATTGACTATGTGAATGAGTATGACGGCGTCCTATGTGATTGGTAAGGATTGAAAAGTGTGAAGGTGAACAATAATAATAGTCTTCTTGGGAATAGAAACACTTTCCAAATACGAAGTGTCAAGTATGAATACAATCAACTTCCTTCCACACGTGGAGTATTTTGCATCATTCTTTTCATACACTTGGCGAGGTATACGGCTTTGTGTATGGATATCAATTGAAATAACTAATGGTATTATATCAACGATCCTAAATGAGAGAACAGAGTTTTATCAGACCTCTCTATTGTGGTATCACTTCTGATCTACAGATATGAAGACTTTCAGTGTGTCACAGTGCACTCGTATATTTCCGTATCATTTTATTTCATATTCTATGCATCGAAGCAGAAATGCATCCTATTTCATAATAGACTTGTAAATGAAATCTTAAGTTGCCTTGCATTTCGCTTTCAATAAGGTGTCGATCAGGTGTCTGATTGCGCAGGGTTCCTCATGTTTTATTGTAAACATGTAATCTCAGCGATGAGTGTTCGAAATAACCAAGCCGTAATTCCTTTTCATTTACAACAATAAATGCATCCAGTTATTAATTTATTAAGTGCCCATATTCACAATTCCCACTCTTACGTATAAAAATGATTTATCGACCAGTTTGTCAGAAAATGTGTCAATTCTGCTCAAATGTTTTCTTGATTGTATATACATATTGTATATATATATATATATACATATATATATATATATATAAACTTGTTTCGTGAATTGACTCTGTCAGATGACACTGTGTATTTTCATTTCTATACCGCTTGTTTTCTTATCAGCCAAAACCACACGAATACACTGCATACGAGACTGTTTCCAGGTTAGTTCCTTAATTTATCTATGCAGGTTTTGAGCGATTTCGAATTTTAATGATTGATTTTTCCGGGTAATTCAAATGACTGTTGCACCAGGAAAATTTAGATCACTGATAAACAAACTACTATGCGATCAGAAATACTATATGTATGCATTTTATTTATCTTACTATCAATTCCCATCAGCTACATATTGTAGTTCACCTCTTCGCATTTAGTGGATATACATCGTGAAACTCAATGCAACATGAATCTGAAGTTGAAATTAGAAATGTAATATTGTGTTCAGTTCAAAGTTAAGTAGTTGGCGCAGTATAAAAACAACCTGATGCATAGTCAACTTTCAACACTATTACGACCTTTTCCCTTCAACGGTAATCTGATTGATAACTGAAAACTGTACTTGTTCACTTTGCGTTCATAGTAACATCTTCAATCGGTTACTCTCATGAGATCCTTCGACGTAGAGCCATACACTACTTGCATGAAATGAAATACACCTCAGTCGGACTGCACAAGATCGCTCAAAGTCTCGAAGAATTCAGTAATCTGCATGAAAGTAATACAAGTGTGTCGTCAATCAGAATATCACTGGAAAGATATGAAATTCAACTACACGAAATCATTGAAGACATGGAAGCCCATCTGAAAGAATTGGGTGAAACAGATGGCTTTTCAAGATTTCGAATAACCGGTTTGAACCAACTCGCTGAAACAGTACAGAGGCGGATTCGACAACTGCAGGTATGCGAGATTTTAAATTATTATTATTACTGTTTGGAAATTCTGAAATGAAAGGATTCTTGAAATTACTGTTAGAGTAGACAGCTCTGATGAGTGAGTGATTCTGTCAGATATCCGCATATAGGTGATGAATGAATTGAAGTGGGAATCAGGATCTGGGTATCAAGCCAGATGATGATGATAATTATAGTGAAATGATGGGCTGATTATCAGGTGGATCTTGTGTCGCAGTCAATAGAATGTCAGATTGGTGATCTGAAGGACAGTGTTCGAATCTTGCCACTGTCACCATTTCAATACGAATTTACGTTGTCATATAACAGATAGATATAGGTTCTTCAAATTTGGCCTTTTTCAGAAAGCCTTGACATAGCCAGGTGTACTTGTAATATTATTGTAGCACTGTGTCATGCCACAAGGCGATGATCACTCCTTCACTTCCTCCTCCCATCTCGTATCTTTGCTTGATTTCAGAATCCAACAAACTGCCAAACTGCCAAATATATTACATTCGACTTTACGAATTTATGTGGATTCGGATGCTCTGTTCATCAGCTAACTGCGTGCTTACATATGGCCTTTGAACATAAACGAGTTCTGGTTTTGAAGAAGAACTCTCCTGGAGATATTTTTCGTGAATGGCTTAAACAGAACACAATACCACTCTCGGAGAAATGTAGTTATGAAGACTTGAATGATAAAACAGGTGTGTAGATAGTGCTATTGATGCATTCTTGTTGCATCAAAATATATCATGTGAATGTAATTTCATCCCTGAATGTGAGAGCGAAAATAATAATAGTGATGTCATTATGCCAAACAGTACGATTGAAACGCACATTGGAGTATTCGTCTTTTTAAGTTGATCCTTATTCGAAATACGTAAAGCATGTAAAGGCAGAAATTATGATTTGAGGTATAGTGCGTTTACTAGAACATGACTTCAGTATTCTGAATAAAAGTCTCCACTGAATTATTAATTGTGCAGTACTGGTTATCTATTCAAGGCGAATTTGAACTCAGCGATTTTCATTGGATAACTTAAAATAAGACGAATAAAGTGGCTTACGCATTCGGTGGATTTCTAGTATACGTACTGGTTGTTGCAGGCAGTGAATAGTGTCACACCGGTTTGTAACTGACCGCATTCTCCATCTCTCTGACTCGTCTTCATCAGCAATGACCGAACTAAGACCATGAAACCTATCTTATATCGCATGACGTCGTATGCTACTGATTAAATTATATGAGTAGTCGGACATCACTCACACCAGCCAGAAGTGCTTCGTAGTCAGATTGAAGTGATCTTAACACTAGACGGCCATTTGGTGCCCATTTTGGTCCGAACGCATCAGTGGTATACCTGAATCGAATGAGCTCACACAGCCGAATATTTCCAGATCGCCCAAATCCAGGATGGGTGCTTGTACAAAGTGGTTGGAGATTGAATCATTCATTATCAACTATGGTATGAAGCAGGTGGCATTGTAATCTGAGTGATTTTGGTTTCCCAAGGAGACTGTGGTAGAGGTTCAAGTAGAACTGTGTGGCTTGCGAACTGTGAGTTAAACTCTACTCACTTGAATACCTGAGTGCTCACTCACCCTAGTCAGTTGTCTTTGGTCACCCCATGGCTAGCTGCATTCTAATCCTAATACCACAGTTTCATAGGACAAAGTCACCGGATGTGAAAATAAGTGACGGATTGTCTTGAGACCACAAGTCGTGTAAATAATGCAATTCAGATGGAAAAGCAATGTACGCCAGTCAACAGCTTGACGAGTTATGGCTAGAGGCATAAGGTTTCAAATAAATCAGTGGAGAAATTGTGACACGTGAGTGGACAGATTTCTAGGACCTTGTGGATTTGCCTAATCTTAGTGTGAATGTGGTGATAGATAACATGACACTGGCATACAAGGGGGAAAATTGTGATATGAATATAGACACCAAGCCTAAAATTTTTTTTATGCATTATGAACTCACCCAATCAAACCCATTCTCTTCAATCTTCTTCAGATATTATCGAATGTCCTCTGAAAGCATATATTCCTTCAGACAAGGACTGGATTCCAAACGTGTTACCTAGAGATTTAGCTGAAAAATTAATATATTTGCATGAAGCACCGTATGCATGGTTTGCTGGTCAATTGACCGCATACGTTTTGCGTCCGAACTTGCATCTTTCTCAGCTAATCAACCAAAGTTTGAGTGGATTTAGGCGGAGTGATCATCCAGTGGTTGGTGTGCACATAAGACGCACAGACAAGGTGAGTGTTCTAATAAATCATCAACTGCATTTGAGTATAACATGGTGATGTGATTAAACGGACTGGCTGAACACTAAGTGTCAAAATTAATGTTGCATCACACCGCTGAAATGCCAAACTGGGGGCAAACGACGTAGGAATAGAAGTCATCATGTGTCGGGAAACTCCCAGAGAAATGAATGAAATCCAGAAATATTCGCAGACTTCTTCGAAGGCAAAAGACAATTCTACGACACACTGGCTTGCACCTGAAGCAGAACAGGAAGGCTTCAGGCAAACGAGACAAACAAACGGAACATTGAATCAGATAACCAGGTTGTCATGCGAGAAGAGATCAACCCAGATGAAACCAATCAAAGGTGATGTAGCAAAGGAAACCAGTCAGTGACAGGACTGTCAGTGGACACCATTTAGTCGACAAAAGTAGAAGTCTTCAATACCAATACGTCAATGAAAACTAGGAAGGCAGAAGTTTCAGTCAAATAGATTTCCTGCAAAAGCACTGTAAGCAGATCTCAACATCTCAGTGGATATCCTTGCACAACTACTACAGGAAGTGTGGGAGGAAAAAAGTCTACCTACTGATTGGAAGAAAGACTACGTCATCAAACTACCAGAAAACTGCAACCTAGGACTTTTCAAACACTGGCGTGGAAACATGCTTCTATCTGCACCAAGCAAATTATTAGCTTGTCTCGTGCTGAAGGGACTAAACGACGTTGTGGATGCGAAATTCCGCCGTCAACAACATGGATTCAATTAAAACAAAGTCTCTGCAGATCACATCGCAACACTACGCTCCAACACCACAGAATGCCCCGAACCTTCATCAACCTCATTTAATACCTGCATCACTATGTCACTTGTCAGGTGGTTCACAGCGGAAAGCTCAAGGGGGACATTGGACAGAGCAAGATAAGGTCACCTACTGTCACCGATAATATTACCGGTTGTGGGCACTGGATCATGCAACAGACTGTAGAGAGAAGTCAGGAATTAGTTGGGTCGACAAGAAGACCAGAGGATTTGGACTTCGCGGATGACATTTTTAGTCTCATATAAACTCAAAGATTTACAGGCAAAATCCTACCAGTTGGCAGTGTAGTCAGCGAAGACTATACTTTAAGTGAACTTGAAGGGGGAGAGATGATAAAGATAGAGTTTATTGATGTTATTTTAAGTTTTTCTTAATCCCTGTTTACTCTACCATATTTTCATACCCGAACTTCGTGTTTATTTTGTCATTTTACTATTTCTACATATTTAATCCCTGATTGCATAAACAATTATTCATTACATTAGTTTTATCCAAACATCCTGTCTATTTTGTTATTTCTACATTTCTAACCCCTAATTGCACAATGTCAATCTTCTTAGTTATTATGATGCTACTTTGTTTATTTTATCCATTCCCCTGTTTATTATGGCATTCTAATTCCCAATTTTAATTTTTATTAATTTCACCCTTAACTGGAAATTATTCTGGAACTTTCCCATCGATTTGATATAAATACACGAATGTACAGCCTAGATGGTGACTTCATCGAAAAAAAATTTTCTTCACTGCAATTGTCTTCTCAATAACTCCTATGACACAATGTGTATATTGCGTGATCAAGAAATATGCAGAAGGAAATGAAGATGGATTGTACACGCACTGAAGACAGCGTTGGGTGGCATCTCGACCCAGCACACTGAGTGAGCAGCGAATAGGGAACGACAAGTTGGGCGTCTGAGTGTGACATGTAGGAGATTGTGTGAGAAGGAGATAAGAGTCTGTGGGCGATCTCTGAGCTAAATACAGAATACTAAGGAGAATAGAATGCAGTGTAAATGAGCTGTTGAAGCCCTATGTCCCACCTGGAACACAAGCGAATAAAGAAAATAACAGAAACAAATATATATTCACGGACGTCATTCAACTAACTAACCAACTCATGACACAGGAGGTGGATCGAATCCCCCGTGCATTATTTCTAATCTCAACTAGGAACTACTACATGATATGTGACGAATTTCAGCGTAGAAATGAAACTGAGTGAGTGAGCAGTAGGCATTGGTGGAGAAGTCATAAGTTGTGTATCTCGTGCACAACGATGAAGAATAATAAGCATAATTTAGAAAGTTAAGAACGGAGAAGTGGTGAAGAGAAGACTTGTAGTAGGACGTGTTAGTGGAATTGTTCACTTAGCAAAATCATGACATCATACATAAGGCCTGCATTGATATCTGAATGTTTCTGTTCACTTCACAACATTATTCATCTGATTGTGCTGAAGAGAAACAAGCGAAAATCTAGCAACTTTGGCTCCGGAATATCCACCAATGTTTTAACCGATTCGACTGAGAGAATGAAAGAAATGAAGAATCAGGAAGGCTTTTGATGTATAATAATGCTTGCATTTTGTTGTCTTAAATAACCAAGCTAAATTATTTAATTTACATTTCCAGCTAATTTGGGAAGCTCAATCACATGATTTGGAAGAGTACATGAAGCATGTGGACGATTATTTCAATTCATTTGAGAATACTACACCTCTTTTGAAGCCTGAAATATATGTAAGTTGTATTTTGTATCAGATAGTAATGAATGAATAATACCGATCGCAAAGCCAATTTCTACACGAGTAGCTTGAATCAGTGTTTCAACTCGTCATGAATTACTCGATCTTCATATTTTGAAGAAATCCTGAGATTGTTTGCATTTTACGTGTGAACAAATTTTTGGTACTCCATCATTAGTGATAACAGATTTCCCAGCTTGCTAAAATGAAAACCAGAACTTCACTGGGAATAAAGACAGCAAACACTCCTGCATACTATTCAAATCAGATTACGTAGCATGCTGTAGCTTGCACATTTAGGATTTTGCTGATGCTTTAGGCACAAACAGATGTAAGCTGCCTTCATGTGTAGACAAACAGCTCACCATCACAATAAACCATACTTAATGATTTTCACTAAGGAGACATAAGGAGTATACAAGTATGAGAGGAGGAAAGTCACAATGAGACACAAAGTTACATCACAACACATCTGAAACACCAATCAGAAGATTGTACAATTGTGTTAACTATGTCACTGCACAATGTTCATTGTGCGGAATACTCGAAATAATGCTGTACGCAAAGTGTTGATATTGAGGGTATTAGCAATGAATGCTAAAACGAGACAGAGGAAAAGATTGTTCAGAGCAATCATAGAAAATCGGCAGACCACTTATTGTATGACAACTTTGTTTAATTTCAATGGAAGTAATCCGGTGTAAACGAAATGTGGTTTCAGTGATAATTATTTCTGAATGATACTGCTCACATATCAACTTTAGGTGATGTGGTCCATTAATATTCTCGAAATATATTCTCATATGTTTTGTGACCAGGTGATATGAACGAGTGAATTGACAGGCATCTCCCTGACATCCAAGAATGCCATATAACTGTGCAGATTTGAAGTGAAGCTACGGAAACAGCGCTGATCTTTGACTGATATCTTTAATTGTGTTTGTACTTTCATTGCAAATATCTTACTAGCCGCTTCTGGAGGTTTGAGGAACTTCAGTCGAGATCGGAGATTAATGTCAGTTAGATAGTGATTGAAAACTAGGGAACACCACGGAGCTGCTTTGTCCCAGCTCCATACTCTACCGGCATGCACCCTTGACCGAACCAATTATTGCACCTAGGAACTTCACTTAACACAGCTAGCATGTTGAACATCACCGCTACGCTAGCTCAAGCCGATGTCATCGACGAATATCTGCCTTCACATGAAATCAGCTATTTGATAGATTTCATTGAAAGTGGTTTCGTGTGAAATTATAGTAGGATTATCAGTCTAGGATTGTGTCCATCACCAAATATCGAAAATCAAGTGTAAGAGGTGAGACAATGAGTCATGCACAGTTATGTTTAAACGTGTCAACGTATTCATATGACGATGCAATTTCATTTGATAGAAGTAATCCCCCATGTTTGGAACTAATTCAACTTTCATGTGTGTCAATTCTGTGTAAGGATAATTGTGCACTACATTTTACACTAGATCGCCCTCTTGCTACCAAGCGTAATTTACAAAGATTTACAAAGATACGCGCATTTCTTCCATCACTTTTCTTTCAGAATTCGAATGGCTACAATTTGAATAATCACACAAAGGATATTGAACGTTTGACATACAGAAACAGAAGTGTTTATTTGACGACAGATGAACCTTCTCTCTTCGACCAGTTCACCACAAATCATCCAAATTATATTCTATATGGCAGTCAAAGAAGGTCGATGTCAGCTGGTACTGAAAATCGCAGAAGCATGGATTCAATGAGTAATGCATTTACTGACACACTGGCCTTATCAGAAACAGATTTTCTGGTGTGCACATTTTCATCAAATGTGAGTAACCTTGTTATATTTCACTCTATTTATCCTGTGTAATCAGTATGGAAGGGATGCTTTTCACAGCATTAAGGTGAAAGAAATCTCAGACTATGTTAGCTCGCTCCTGATCCACTTGTTGGATAATATCGCACTTGACACGTCAACTGGTGATGTTGACCTTTATTTCACATAAGCCTCGGAATGAATTCTGTCAGACATCTCCACACTAGGGAGATGTTGAGTATTCAGTTCGGTGTGATGTACACTGGTTCTGTAACAGTTGTTATCACTGTTCATTGTTCGAAATTCATAATAGCAATGAAAACCAAAAAGTGGTCAAAAGGAGTAATTGTAGCAGTGTCTGCCAACATTGGTTTCAATTGGCACAAGTTACTTCCAAGCAGCTTTATTAGAGTTTGTGTGTTTGTTGAATCACATGAAAACGGATTTTGCTCATCTGATACGTTATAATAACTCACTTCGTGTTTCAGATGTGTCGTCTGGCGTATGAATTAATGCAGACCCGTCATGAGAAACTGGGTGATGCATCACAACTGGTTAAATCTCTCGATAATGTGCACCATTCAGAGGATTTCTCGAGAGTCAAATTTGAGGTGCTGATACCAGATTTGAGAGCGGGACTGAACTATGGCGATTTGGTAAATCTATACAAAAATCACTGGAACGGTTCCTCATCCAACATCCTCATGTGGCGTAATGATGGCCGAAGTGGGGATGGACAACAGAAATTATCGAGTGACAAGCAAGAAAATTCATTTAATGCGCCTGCATATAAATTCAGACCTGAGTTGAAAATAACCAATTTCAGCTGGTTGTAGAAGGGAAAATCACCTTCAGGTGTAACGCCTTACAACTGTAATCTCTGTAATATTTCTACCTTGATTTCTTATATACTGACATACACAATATGCGTTTCTCTTATCTTTCAAGTGGATTTGTGTATTTGTGCGAGAATGACTGTCATTAAGAAGAGTTTAGTGTCTTCTTGTGTTTGTGTGTATTCATTGTCATGACGAGAAATTCCATATGGTTTGGGAGAAATTGTGATTGAGATGAGTGAACTAGGCATACTTCTATAAGCATTAGTGTATTTCAACATGCAGATATTGCCTTCTTTGATTACTTGTTATCCCTGTACGATGGCATGTTCGAGTAGAACTTGAAATGATGACTTTTACGCAGACGGGTTATTGTTGAGATATTTTAGTCGTATTTGCTTCAGTTATTTATATGCGGATAGATTGGGAGTTCACATCTGCATTCGTGATGCTTTTTCTTACTGAAGTATGAACAGGCATGAAAGCGACTATTGTTGGTCTTCATCCTATAGTGAGATTGGATATTCAATAGTACGGAATAAATATCTGCATATGATAGTGAATAAAAAGTCATGATTCATGAATCATTCGCCATTAGAAGCATTCGTCCAACGATGTGATGTACTCATCTAAATGACACTACTTCGTCCTTTATTTTCATCAGAGAAGTAGTCAAATGTTTTATTATTTATTCAACCACATATTACCAATAAAGTCACCTACTCTGATACACTAAAGCTACATCTTTAAGAAATTCGTCGACTTTTACATTAGGTTATGTCTTGCTCCCCGAGAAATAACAACATCGCAATGTTCAACGCTTGTTTAGTAAACTTTTCTTTTCACTGAATTAGATTACGCTTCACTTTAGTTAATAAGAATGTGTGAACACCGCAAATATTGAAATATAATTAGCTGTGTTGGTAAATTTTATACCTCATTTGAAATTAGTTTGGTCACGCCGATGAGAAGTAAACAAATACTGACTACTTTTTTGAGACAGTAGATTGTCCTTATTCGAAAACCATACACGATTCAACATTGCAAGCTATTTCGTTCCACCTTGGTTTCTGTCGGACTTCTGCTTATTCTAAGCTTCTACCTAACAAGAATCCTTGCATTCTGATATTATTGTTTCTGAAGAACGCATTATTCGAGTTTTTTAACTTCCCGTTGAACCTTGAAATATTTGTTAGTAGTATAGAACCATACGTAGAACAATCCCTCTCCGTGAATTCACGGTACAACTGACACATCCATATGTTATATCCTACAATGTATTATTCGTTTCGCTTTCAGACTTTGAGAAGGCTATCTGAAAGCACCTAACGAAATTTCAGCTGATACTTTGTCTCAATATAATATATGTATGCATATACCAGTCAGTCACATTTTACTCACCGACATTCCTGTGAAAATGAGATTAAATGCATAGTTGGAATCAGGCTTCTCAAATATTAGCCAAACTAATTGAACAGCAATTACTGATATGCTGAAATACCAGGATAGACTGAAGGTATTGCAATGGATAAATGAAAATGTGGGTCAAACATATAATAAATATCCACTTATTCAATAAACTGTAGGCCTCCATTATATACAGGATTGTTTGTGCAAACAGTCGTTAGAGGCGAGACAGGTATTAGCGGTAATCAGTGTGCATACATCTTTAACCCTTGATATAGTATCAAGATGAAAATATAAGTTAGAAAATACAATTTTCGATTGCCTCCTGAGATTTTCACTTGAACTGATTTCCAGCATATGTGATCCGTTTCTGACTTGCACTATTTGAAGCAGCTGGTTCCCTATTTAATAGTAATAATAATAAGAATAAGAATAATATCTTTACTATAGACAATATATTCACCATGGTACGGACTTTTCAGCGTATTTAAATTTCAAAATGTCTATTCTTCTATTTATGGAGCACATTTCGGACTTTCAGATGATCCATCTACGTGTCATATATATATATATATATATATGGGGTAGCATGGAGCAAAGTACTCGGCTCTTTCGAAATGCAGGTCGAAATGTTTACGGTCACGAACACAGTTAATAGGTAGGAAATCGAGGCAACAAAATGGAGTAAGCGTCAATGATGAAAATATCGTTAAGCGAAATGAACCATGGTTCTAAATGATGTTTAGATGGCTCCCCACAGAATCGTCTGGTTTGTCACTGCACCACCAATGTTAAAGCACACGATCAAATACTCATTTGTCGAGCTCGTATGAACAAAAATATGAATTGTGGACTAACACACAAATAAACATTATCCAAGTACCTTCTTTTGTGCATGATTCTTCGGAGAATGATGCATACATTCCGAACGTGAGTGGTTTCCAATCAGTTATTTACGGAGGCTGTGATTGCACTCATTGCTGACGAGTGTCTGTTTATATTCTGGAAACAACAGACCAATAAATATTGCAAAGTATCGACACTTACTGTCAGTTGTACTGTACTGGGTGAAAAGTGGTTTCTGTCATTTCATCTATGTCTGTTTGCAATAACATAACAGTGAGACTTTCTCAATCGGTGACCGTTGTTTTGATTTTCTGTTTAACAGTTTGTTTGACTGCCTACTCATCTGTGAAAACTTGCTCTACAATCTCAGGCTATACAGAACCTGAATGAGTGTCCATCTGTCATGTTTCCGACCTGCTCATATAAATAAAAAAAGGTAAGTGGGTTACAGAAAAGCCGATTTTGAGGTGAGACTTAAGGAATCTTCCGCACTCCGTTTTCGTAGAAAGGAGGAAACTCATGGGAAAGGTAAGTGAGATGGAGACACTGAGACTTGATGAAAAGAAGATATATTTGATATGTATCCATATACATATATATATATATATGTATGTGTGCGTATGTTGGTCTCTCTTTCTGTTTGCTCTCTTAGTCTGTGACCATTTCACTTGTATGAACTTGTCTCCTTTAACAATGTATATTCTCCTTATATTATATTATATATAATATGAGTGTTTGTTGACAATCCGTTGCTTGGTGACATATATCCATATATGGTGGTTGTTGGCATGTCTGCTATATTTCGCTATGTATATATGGATCGATACTTCATTATAATTAGCCATTCATGTTGAGACTGTCTAATGATTGTTCACACCCTTGTCATATATATATTTCGTTCTCACAATTTGTGTGACTGACTTACACTTACTTCCTACTCTTGGTGTGATACCACTTCTGCATTCTCCTTGTGTTTGGAAATAGAAGTATCATCGCAAACCTAGTGGTCTTCTGATTTCCGCCTTCTTGCGTCAGGGCTATTAAATTGTCGACCAGTCCATAACAATAATTTAGCGACGAGTACATAACAATATTATAAAAAGAAATTTACTCCCTTCTGTTGTTCACAATTCAAGCACGAATCAAAGCTGCATGTTTAAACCAAATAAACAAAAGTCGAGTGGGCAAATACTGTTAAGGCTTCTCCGTAGCTGAAATTGTTAAAAGTGGAAGGAGTCTCGTCAAATGATGCACGCTTACGAAACAAGTCTCCTTCACTGATGACTCTCACCATATATCTCAACCGACCGCTTTGGAAAATCATCAGTTACTTGACGAGTCACCACAACTTAATCATGCCAGTCAAAAGAAGAACATTTCAATGGATAAATTTTGATATATATGAAGCTTGAAATCAACGTCAAATAAATGATTCCCCAGAGAAATGATTCCATAAGCTGTTTTCTACGGGTAACGATGAGTCATCAAATCCTTCTAGAGAGAATCAAAATGTAAGCCGTCTCGACACATACTTGTGTTGATTACTCAATTGCTTCTAATTATCTTGCTAATCTGATAAATTCATTTGTTATAAACATTAACTTACTATGCTTGTTCACAGTTAAATAAATTCAGATTCAAATCTCTTTGTCTCATCATGACAATGGGTAAGTTCGAATGAGTGCAGGAGGAGGATTCGATGCATCCCGTTTTATTTGTGCGGTGTTAACGTGTATTTATATAAGCCTGATAGTAATATCCTTTAAATATTGTCTGTCATACTTTGTTGGACTTGTGGAGTGAAACCATATGATTACACAGCCGAAGTCTTCTATGTGGTATGTTTTTAAGGCTATCTGTCTGCACACTGATTTAATTCCACCTGCACGATCATTATGCCGAAAATTTAACTTCATTAAGTGTGTGGAGGATTTCAACTCTTGCGATCACGGCTTGCTTACGTCTGTTGATCGTGGAAACTTTGTCAAGTTTACTGCTCGTTTGAACTTGGTTTCCATAAATGACTGTAATGCAAATGAATCCCTTGCCAAACCCTGACCATTTCATTATTCGTATTTGATTAGAATTTCATGAGAAAGTGATCAAGAGAGCTTCACTTCACCTCACACAATGTCTTTAATAACGCTGTTACCGACATAATAATATTCATATGTTTAGATGAATGTCTCTGAATGCTTACCAAAGACGTACTCGTAGATGAAATATCGGATGTTACTACCACCTGCTATCTCAAGATCTGACTGAACATTTTCGGACCTACTGAAACACTGTTTATGGGGTTCGATAGGACCTCTTCTTCGCACATGAAAAGGTTTCCTGGAAGAAAAGGGCATTTGTATAAGTCGAGTGATAATGCTGGTGTTAGAAGGTTGAACAGTTTAGTAAAGTCTGCAATGCAATATTTGAATAAATATTCTTATCATAGATAAATGTTTCCGAAATCTGGAAACCTTTTAGTCAACTCAGCAAAACCTGAATTTCTATCTGTGCTTGTTTTGGTGTAGTTCCCTTAAGTTGATCTTTTCTACAACTTCAAGCTACCCATCGCCTCTAGTCATATAAACAGTTATTTTCCAGGTTTCGATCAAAAGGATGTATTCACACTTATCAAATCCCCAAACCCACCGCACAAAGAAAACTCTGATGGTGTGCCAAGTCTTTTGCATTAGAAGTGAGAAAATATTTTGTGTCAATCTTTCACACAAATGTTTGGTGCATAATTTCAAAGAGATACATTGGGACGAAAGAAAGAAGGACACAACTCCGATTTTCTGAGCATTTAGTAAACACACTACGTATCAAGGGAACACACAATTATTTATTTTCCCCCTAGCGACAGTTACTGTAACTGCTCCCACAGATGCCTTTAAATACGTATGCACATTTATGCACACATTTACAGAGACACAGTAACTGTCGCTAGGAGGAAAATAAATAATTGTATGTTCCCTTGAGACGCAGTATGTTTGCTAAATGTTCAGAAAATCCAAGTTGTGTCCTTCTTTCTTTTTTCCCATTTTGACTAGTCCTGCAGATGCCTGTAAATTTGTATGCACATTTAGAGTCGATATGAGAAGGGTATCTGCCGACTTTCGATTGCACTGAAGAGTATGTTGCCCAATAAACTGAAACCAACTTAGCTGCATGATAGGCTCTGGTTAGTGTCGGGTGCAATCTCCTCTTGACTATTCCTGCGATATTTTCACTTTTAAAATCAGGCTGAATGAAGATAGTCTTTCTTCCCATTGTGATTTATTGGACATATGAGCCTACACATCTTCCATATTTGTCGATGCATTTCTGAGGGTGACCGTTGTT